CCACCCTCGTGTGCCTGTGGAAAGTGCTTGTGTGCATCCAGCCCTGAGCCGTGGCCCCGCAGCCGTTCTGGCAGCATCTTCCTGTGATGGGGATGCGCCAGCTCGGAGCAGGGAAGGATGTGACCTGCTGAAGCCTGTTCCCCCTCGGGAGGATGCTCTGCTGCCCAGATGTGCACCTCTGGGCATGCAGCCTCTGTCCAGCTTTGGGGGAGAAGATGGGGCTGGTGGTGCTGCTGCTGGGCAGAGGGGTCAAGGAGGGCTTGGCATCTGCACGGTGGGCAGTCAGGGCAACCCCTGGGAGCTGTTTGCTGAAGATGGAGGAGGAGATGGGGAGAGGAGAGCACGGGGGGGATCCCTGCTGGGTCCCCCTTCCCAGGGAGCAAGGCAGGTCCCAGGTGGGGGAAGCTCTGCTTTCACTGGGAACCACAGGAGTGGGTGGCATTAGCTCAGAGCATCCTGAGCAGGGGGCCAAGCCCCAAAACGGGACAGGCTGACATGGTCTATGGCAAGGGCAATGCCCGAGGTGGCAGATACACCTGGCTGCACCCATCCCTCCTGCTTTTTGCTGCCACCCTGTGAAAGCATCCATGGCTCAGCCACCCTGTGAAAGCATCCATGGCTCAGCCCTGGGCTTGGCTTCCCAGGGATGCTCCTCAGGGAGTGAGGTACCTTAACACCATCATGTCCCCAACACCCTCCTCATCCTCCTGGTGCTTGTCCCCATGCCATTCCAATGACCTTGTCTCCCTCACCTCTGTGCCCCCAGGCAGCACTGATGCTAGTTATGCTCAGAGCCAAGCGCTGGCTCAGATCCAGCCCAATGCATGTCTGCGTGTCCTGCCTGACCCCTTTTACCCCCAGAAAGGCCCCCACAGCCTCCCACCAGAGGAAGGGGTGTGGGGATGGCACAGGGGGGTGGCTAGAGTCCCCTGCAGCCCTGCACGGGCTGGAGAGAGGACTGTGAAACGCTCCATCGCCTCGGTTGGACGAGGCCACCCCGAGCGCTTGGCCATGCCAAGGTCCTGCCCTGGCAGCAGAGGCACTGGTGAGAGCATCCCTGGGCTCCCGCACCTGGAGGGAGCCCCGACAGCCCCCCTGGCAGCGCGTGATGCCGGTGAGCAGTGTGCTACATGGCGATGAGGGGCACCTTGCCAGCGGTGCTGGGGAAGGGGGAGCCGTCCCCCCCGCCGAGCATGTGGTAGAGCAGCTCTTCCTTCTTGTGCTGAGTCTGCTCCCGCAGCTGCGCCTCCTTCTGCAGTGCCCTGCGCGCGGCCAGCAGCTCCTCTGACAGTTGCCTGCAGGAAAATGGCACGTGCTGCTGGACCCGTCGGGAGAAGCACCAGCTGACACAGCTGGCTGCGATGGACGCCACTTCTCCTGCCATTGGAGGTGCCACCAACTGGGACCACTGTCACCCTGCCACCGTGCACCGGGGAGCTGGCAGACACATGGGAGCAGCACTTACCTCGCCATGACCAAGTGGTTCTGGGTGCGAACCTGCAGGTCCTCGTTCTGCTGCTGGAGGGTCTTCACCTTCTCCTCCAGCAGAAGGTTCCTCTCCACCTGGAAGGGGGGTACAGGGGTGAGGAGGGAGCTGGTGCCTCTGACCTTCCTGCTGCCCCATTCTGGGGGAAAACTGGCTCGGGAGAGAATGGTGGCATTGCTCCTATGTCCCCTCCCCACGCTGATGGGGAGGATGATGGAGGAACCAGGCTCCATCCAGTTCCACTTCAGCTGCAACTTCTGGATGGGATTCAGGTGGGGAGAAGAGATGGAAAGAGGAAAGCCCACCTGAAACCCCCCAACTTTGAACCCACCACAGTCTCCAGGTTCAAAGCAGCGTGTTCTTGTCCAGGGCATGGATGTGCTCGTTCTTCACCTCGATGACAAAGTGCAGGCTCTCCAGCTCCTGCTCCCAGAACGGGGTGGGTCTCCCATGCTCCTGCGGGGCACAGGGGATGGGGCAGCTGCAGAGGGGGGCACCCAGGGTGTCTGCCACCGTTTACCCCCCCACACATGACCCCAGTACTCTCAGCAGATGGGTTTGTACCCACAAGGCACCACATTTCACCTGTGCTCAAGGGACCCCAGTAGCTGTGCACCTCCCAGGGATGGGGCTTTGCTCCCCACTTCAGCTGTCCTGTGTCCCCCCCACCAGCTCCAGACCCCCTCTCTGCTCTCAGGGTCCCTCAAAGAAGCTTTAAGCCATTGTCCTGGAGCAGGACCCCTCCTGCCACCCCTCTGCAGAGGCCACTGATCCCACGTCCCCCTGTACCTCGATGAGCTTCTTGTAGTCTGTGCTGATGAGACACTCCTCCACCCACTTCATCCTCTCCTGGAAGAACTTCACCTGGGAATTCAGCTCCTGGATCATCTCCTAGGGCAGCCGGGGAAGAAGCAGGATGGGACGTGTCCGGGATTTCTCCCTGAGCAGGCACCCCGAG